TGCATGCAAATGTGTGTGTATATGTGTGTGTGTGTGTGTGTGTGTGTGTGTGTGTGTGTGTGTGTGTGTGTGTGTGTGTGTGTGTGTGTGTGTGTGTGTGTGTATATGTGTGTGTATGTGTGTGTGTGTGTGTGTGTATATGTGTGTGTGTGTGTGTATGTGTGTGTGTGTATGTGTGTGTGTGTGTATGTGTGTGTGTGTGTATGTGTGTGTGTGTGTGTGTGTGTGTGTGTGTGTGTGTGTGTGTGTGTGTGTGTGTGTGTGTGTGTGTGTGTGTGTGTGTGTGTGCATGTGTGTGTGTGTGTGTATGTGTGTATTTGCATGCGAGTATGAGTGTGTACATATGTGCATGTGGGTTGACAATGCCTATGTGTGTGTGAGTGCATGTGTATATACAAGTGTAAGTGCATGCATTGTGTGTGTGTGAGACTGTATAAATTTGTGTGTGTTTGTATATGTGCGTTTGTATGTGCTTTTTTGTTGGTGTCCACACAGATGCATGGATTTGTTTTTGTATTTGATAGTGTATATATGTATATAAAAGCATGCATGTGTGTGAAAGTGCAAGTACGTGTGTATATGCGTGTGTGTGTGTGTATGTGCTTGCATGTGTGTGTGTGTGTGTGTGTGTGTGTGTGTGTGTGTGTGTGTGTGTGTGTGTGTGTGTGTGTGTGTGTGTGTGTGTGTGTGTGTGTGCATGGGGGGGGGTGCATTTGCAAGCATTTGTATGTATGTGCATAAAGACTGTGTGAATGGGTGTATGACTGTTGGTATGTATAAATCTTCATTTGTAAGTATATATATAAAAAGCAATAATTGACATCATCATATAAGATATATCAATTAAATTCTTCCTAATCTTTACCTTCTTACTAAACCAACCTTTACAAACCATCCTAGTAAACACTCATACAAGTAGTTTCAAATCTAGTGCATTTTATTTTGCTCACACACCTGACTACTCTTACAGTGTTACTGTGAGTGATTTTGTTGTCTTAATTATATTTTTGAAAGGTAATCTGAAAGCTGAATACTAAATTTTGATATTGATATGCTTTCCTTTAAGTAAAAAAAAGGCCATTCAAAACCCTTTTTTTTCTCTTTTGTCTTTGTAGGTGTTCGGATGGCACAGGAACTACTTCGCGGTGTGGAACAGCTGCTGGACTCTGAGATGGGTGAACTGAGAAGGCGAACAGCTGCAATGTCCTCGCGTTTGAGGTTTTTGGGTCGAAGTGATGCTTCCTCTGACTGCACAAGCAACATTAGTAGCCCAAGTAGTACTTCCAGCAGTGGGAACAGTAGCAACAGTGGCATGAGTGGTAGCAGTAGCGACAACAGCCCAAAGGTTCACACTACACACATCATTGTCACCACACTGGAAGACGATCAGCCGCAGGAGGAGAAGTCAGTGCGAGGTTTGAAGACAGGTCCCCTGCATGGAGAATCTGATCACATGCCGGGGACTCTAGGGACTGGACGAGCTCGAAGTGAACCTCCTTTTGCGGGTGAGGAAGGCCTTTATCGCGCCCGGTCATGCCCGGGACTGCCAAGACCCACGGGAACGTCAGAAGGCAATGAAACGGTTGCCGCCTTAGTCTCAGATTTACAGTTAGTGCGCCTCCGTGGCTCTCGTCCTCAGGCATCAAGAGAAAAATTCTTTAATCGATATTCTTGCGGAGCTTTAGATGCTCAGCAAACAACATCTGCTTCAGCATTTGAGTCCTGTCCAGACTTTGGCAACCTTCGTCCCTGTGTGCGTGAGGGTGACTCCATCCATTCCTCATCCTCCTCCATCTCTTCAACTCACTCTTCTTTCACGCGCCTCCTGCAAGTGTCATGAGTCATCCTCAAGATAGCAAAGTTCAAGTGTATATTACTTATAACGGGGTGTGAAAATCTAGTGCAACATGTCTTGGTGAGCATGAAAGCCATCAAGTTTAATTTGTAGTTGTAATTTATGAAAAAAAGGGTTTTAAGCCAGTACAGAATAGAACCTTCAGGTAAAAATTAAGTACCAGATGTGACTGATACTTGGCAGCTTGTGCATGGACCTTGGGTGTTGTTGAAGCAGATAAGCAGATAATTACATGTGTTAGTGGTGGCAATGTTATGCAGTATATGCCATCCTTGTGACTAAACATGACCCGTTCCTAAATGTAAGACTTAATAAGTGCCGCAGATTAGGTTGAATATTACCTGAAATATACCACTTGGTGAACACTTTAGTTCAAGATGCTGGCACACACGTGTAGATTTTTCTCTGTATAGTGGTGAGGGCCCCTACACACTAGTCGCATGCGGAACTGGAGTAGAGAAGCAAGCTTGTATGATAATGAGGATATGCATATTATTTTATTTTAATATTTTCATAGATAACCTGATTTGTACATTGATAAAAATAAAAATGTAGAGATTAAATGTTATATAATCAATATTGATGATGCATTCAAGGGTATGTTATGAATATTTTGTTCAATTATTCATACTAATATAGCATTACTACTATGAAGAATTGAAGTCATACAGGTAATTACACAGGTAACTTAAAAATAAAGTGTAAGAGAGTACAGGTGACTTCTCTGGCTCTAACGTTGTGGTTTGCAAATATCCTCACTTGTTACTTAATGTTCTACCAGTTTATTGGGAGGGGCCCCATGTGTTACATGTAAATACCTAGAATATATTTGAATCACTTTAAATTATTAAACTTCATTGGACTTACCTTATAGACTCAGGCAGCAAGCAGTACATATAATGCTGATGTTGTATATAGATACCTAGATTACTAATTTTAACAGTATGGTAATCCACTAAGATGACTTAGTTGACAAGACATGACTGACTGGAGGTGGGAATAAGACAAGTGATTGGCCTTAATTAGAGAGAAAAAAAAAGTTTGCAGAGCACTAAGATTTATCATATCCCATGGCATATCAAGAGAGCTTTGGCTTTATATTTTGATTTCCCAGAGTCAGTAAAGAGAGTAAAAAGTGTTTGTGTATTATTGTACAGGTACTATCAGGAAGTGTATTGATAACTGATTTTGGGGTTTTAAGATATAAACGCTTTTGCTTTTTTCCTGATCTTGAAGGTATATATTTTTTACAATAAATAGTTACATTGAATGATATACTCTCTTAAAAAAAGTTTAAATTAATTTCCTAAAAATTATGAAAAGTGTTTACTTAACACCTTTTTTCTGAATCTTAAGAGTAAAAAAAGGTTTAACATTCTTTTAATTGGTTACAAATACAGTTATAAAAAGCATTTGAAATTGGAAAACGATATTTTTGTGATGGAAGATGTGTTAACTAGAATATGATATAATCTAAATGTGCATAAAATGACTTTACTGAACTACAAGCATTAGGTCCAACCACTTCCAAGGTATAAATTAAGGCCTGCAAAGAAAGCTTGTAATTGTTGATAGCAAATACTATTCAGTATTTTTATTATTATTATTTAAATCTAAGTTGTCAGTGACTGGCTCGAGTACTTACACAAGCCTTAAACTTAAAAGACCGTGAAAGTCAAAGACAAAAGGCTAGGAGACCGATGACTATTTCTTTACTTTGCTAAGCATTTACCGTAGTCAGTTTCTCAAGTGTAACGTTTTAGTGTTTGTGCGTATAACACGGGGATTGGTTACCATATTGTAATTTTAAGTTTGCAACAGCATTCTTCTTTCCTTTTTTTTCTTTTTTTTTTTATTTATTTCCCTTTAACTTTGGACAAAATTGTAAGAAAGTGGTTAAGTATATTTGTATATATTTGTTAATTATGCAAGAATAACACTGTTTGCTTTTCTTAATAGGTGAAATAATTTGGCTGTGAGCTTCGGAATATTATTTCTTGGAGTGATATTTCAGATTTTTGGAATTGGTAAAGCTGCACTTATATCATTGTATGTGAATTCCTGATTTTTGATTTTTATTTTCTTTGTGATTGAGCCTACGACTGTATCATGTATATCAAGTTCAACGTATTGACTACTGGAGGTATCATTGCTTTAAGTTGCAGGATGTTGCAGAATAAGACATTTATGCTCTCATGATGCTGTTTGATCCTTGATTTGACTGCCGTGTGACTGATATGTTCAGTTGGTACTTTCCTTTCTGTTGCTTGTTATCTCATATTTAAGAAAGAGGATATTGTAGAAGCAATCAAATCTGGATCAAAGCATATTTTGATAACCAATTTGTATGTATCTTAACCGAAATGAGGTTAGGAGTTCACCATTTCCCTTTTATTATAAGTAGAAAGACATTGTGAAAGTATTCTGTACTTACACATAAATCTAATGCAAGGAAATATTCAAAATGAGAAGGCTTTTTATGTTAACTCATTATTATTATTTTTTTTTCCTGTTTTTTCTTTTTGTCCTATTCCATCTTACCATTTGTAATTCGCAGACTATAGAGGCTATGCTTTCATCAAAGATCTTTGGACATTGGCATTAAAGGTTAAAAGTGAGGCTTTATTTTAGATTTAAGTATAGAAGGTGCCGAGTGAGCTGACGTTTATCGCTGTTCAGAAAGGACGCTGTGGTAGAGATGAAGAGGCTCTTTGATTTCATCTTTGCTTTCTCGTGTGGACAAGTTGTGATTTCTTGGTCTGGGGTTATGTGGGAGAGCATTGCAAGTCCCCTTGAAAAAAGATTTGAAAAGCTTAAATGTTTAAAGCAGAAAATGATATGTGGATATGTATTGAGAGAGGTTTTCTCTTTTTGTGTGAATTAAAAAGTAAAGATACATTCTTGATATTGATGAAAAAAAATATATATTATTGGACGTTTTGTATACTTTACAGATAAAAATTAAAAGTAAAGGGAATTGTTAATGTTAATCTTTGGAACAGCAGCTCTAAGCTTGGCAGTGACTTGAGTGTGTATGTGTGTGTGTGTGTATCTGTATGTTCTGTGTATGTGTATGGCACAATTCTAAGATGGCTTACCAATTACATGCCTTGACACTTTGATTGTTAATAGGTAAAACCAGACAATTACCCTCTTCTTAAATTTAAAGATATTTTGTATGTTATCTGTAATGTGTAATTTTAAATTCCACAAAAGTTTGTAAGAAGCAGAAAGAAAAAAAATGTACTTAAAAGGGGTAAGATGATTTCATTACAATGTTCTGTGTTAATACACTTAGGGATTTACTTTGGAATGTGCTGTTTGTCATCCCATATTTGTTAAAGAGTTTGTGCTTTACACTTTTGTGAATTTACTGGAATCAAAAGGTGTTCTGTTAGTTTCCTCTCAAACACATTCATTTGACACATTAACTAAGATCAAATTCATGAGATCATTACCCACAGATTCATAAGTTAGAAAGAGCATAGGTACTGCCATACCAATGTTGCCAGTGAACACCTTAACAAGGTTTTAGGACAAGGAGATCAACCACTTTGATTTCATATATATATATATATATATATATATATATATATATATATATATATATATATATATATATTTATATAATTATGTGAATATGTATTCTTCTTTACTTTTTTTCTTCAGTTTAGACTTCTCATATTTTGAAATGGGTGCAATATTTTATGGTTTATATTTTGGAGTTTATATAATATAGAAAAGAAAAAACATGTAATTGGATTGAAATTTGAAATTATTTATATATAAATATATATATATATATATATATATATATATATATATATATATATATATATATATATATATGTATATGTATATATTTATGTATAAAGTATATTGTTTCAAAATTATTAAAGTAGAGGTTGTCTTCACTGAAACCAATATAAGAAAGCACAATTACTATTTGACATGTACAAGACAGGCTCCTTCTGCTGCCTTATGACTATGATATCATTATATTGGAAAAGAAGAAATACTTCCTGTCAAACTGCATTCTTCCTGTGAAACTCTCTAGCTAAAACCTTGCGTGTTAAGGCAACTTTGAGACTTAGCAACTAACATACCCTCTATTTACCTTATCTTTCATATCATACCATCCTCCATGAAGCTCTGATACCCCATGTTATAATAATTTTTTTCCTTTTTTTTTCCTTATAAATGGCTTGAGTTTTTTTTTCTCTCATTATATTTTATTCAGTAGCCTTTCTTTTAGTCTCATTATGGGTTCTGAATTCATTTTTTTTGAGCCGAGACCCTTCACAATCCCCCCCCTTGACTTCAAATATGTTTCATAAACATATTTTAGCCCTCCAGTGAATATTAGTATTTAGTGATTACGTTGAATATTTGACATTAAAAAGAAAAAAAAAAATCTTGGGCTCAGTTTGTCCTGCACTGTTACGGTTAACACTCATATTAAACTTCTTACTGGTGAACAAAACCAGTAAATAAAATGTTACATGACAATTTTCTCTTTTCTTGTTTATCCTTCTGTGTACGGTATAGAAGCAGAGGTTATTTTCAGCATTTTATTCAATCTACAGTATATATAACATATATCTAGTATGTAGATCTGAGAGTACAAAAAATTAATATTGTTCTGAGGTCAAATTTCTTCTGGTAAGATTATATGCAACTTTTGCTTCTTCCTTATTTGCTTTGATATATATTTTGAAGATAATGCTCCACTCAGTGAGCCAGAAACACTGGTCAAAGTTATGATATAAAATGGTACAAGCATTACCACACCCTCCTTCAGTCTCAGATTTGCTGATCTGTACTACAGCCAGATTATATTCTAAGTATTAAAGAATCAGTAGATACTGAAGTTATTTGGGATACATGCTGGTCACCTTATAATATAATGCTATTGGTAGGTGGTGATTCGATTTTCAAGAATAAACCATGACACGCATTGTGTTATGGATAATTTCTAAAAAAAGAAAAGAAAAAAATACATGAGAATAAAAAAAACTTAAAAAGTTTACACAAAAAATTCATTTATAGATTTTTCCTTAAGTAAAGACAGGAGTACAGATAAAATACCTTGTACATATTAAAGATTGGCAGTCTTTCATGATATGTCTGTGATTAAATATTCCTAAAATAGTACTGATTCATATTCAAAGAAATTGATATCTTTCATGAAAGCATTTAAGTGCAAATTCCCTAAAATATATATATATATATAAAAAAAAAAAAATCATTGACATTCTATGCAGAAACCTTCAATATGATTTTATTTATGCTTTCAGGCACTGTTTACCTGTTCACACTTCGCCATTCTCATGCAAACGGATGCAGTTATAGCAAAAGAATGAAATAAACTTCTTTATATAATATATATATTTTTTCCTGCAAAAAATTTGATTAGTTAAACAATTTAACATCCATTTTTTTGTACTTGGTTTAAAACAAGGGACATACTTTAGTGTACAGATTGCAGAGCTGGCAATACAAAACTTGCTAATATTGCCAGTAATTACCTCCCTCAAAAAAGATTATGTTATACTCATTAGGATTATGCAAACACCTTATTGTATGTGATGAATATTTTATGATAGGGATCCCATGAGCCAGGGACCAAGTCATAGGTTTCTGGGTTCCTTTCCCTCTCTTAATAGATATGTAAGTATTTTTGGGTGTTAGCACAAGTATCTTCAACTCGGATTGATTACAAGATAGATAATTGATACATGTATAAAGACATATATATACAGTATGGTATATAAGCGTGTGCCCACACACACACACACACACACACACACACACACACACACACACACACACACACACACACACACACACACACACACACACACACACACACGCGCGCACACACACACACACACACACACACACACACACACACACACACACACACACACACACACACACACACACACACACACACACACAAATACGGATAAAATATATATCCACAGAAGTTGTGCAATTATGAAATGTTTCTCTAAGGGAATAGATAATTAAGGAACAAGTTTCGGTGCCCCATTTAGCAGAGACCGAGACAGGAAACAAAACAAATGGCATTTAAGATGTAACTATATCGATATCACGAGCAGTGCCGAAAAAGGCTCCTCGTTGCTCTGTAACTGGTCTGCCCCCCCCCCCCCCCCGCCCCCCGTTGGAAGTGCGATGCCCCTTTTTTTATGAAATGACATTTGATTTACTGACGGAGGAACCTCATGGGCTTCATCGTTCTCGGATCATCAAAAAACTATAACATATAATTGGCAATTATCATTCTCACTGTCAAATCATTATAAAACAAATAATCATATAACATAGAATGACGATCTCTCTCTGTCGAGGTAGTGGTCAAGAATAAAAAAGTAGCATGGCTAAAACTTTCCATAAACAATCTTCAAATGCACTCAAAGTGACCGTGACCTATGGTATAAACTAAAGTGAAATAGTGATGGTACAATATCAGTCAATTGCCGAAGGTTTATAAGTGCCCCCTTTTATCAACTGCCCCCCCCCCCCCACTCTCCTTGAGAATAGTTCTGGATCACGACTCTGTTGAAAGTTTATATCAACAGAATGAGGCTAAGTTATTAATTGATCGCAAATTGGTGTAAAATGTGTACTAGGGAAATAGGGGTTTTATTCTAAATCACGGTATACTTCATATTTATTATTAGTTGATGTGATTATGATGTATTAGGTGTTAATGAGCACGGACGCATGCGCACACACACATGCACACACACACATGCACACACACACACACGCACGCACGCACGCACACTCACACACTCACACACACACACACACACACACACACACACACACACACACACACACACACACACACACACACACACACACACACACACACACACATATATATACACACACGCAAGCATACAATATATGCAGATATCAAAATAATAGTTTTATAGTTGGCGTCATACAGAAATGAACAAAAGTGTGTGAAACCAACAAAATGCCGTTACTGATGCTAAAAAATATAATTGTCAAAACGAACAACAAATTAATATAGCACGCAATATTTATATAAAAGACACAGCTAACAGGCAAATACAACATACCGTTAAATTTTTATGAAACAATGAACTGATGTCTCGTTTTTAATACATCGAGGTGTAATACTAAAAAAATAAATATAACAAAATGGACTGGTGATTTTCGATATAACGTTAATTCTAAGACTATATCATTTTGCTTATATATGTCTTATTTGATAGGAAATTTACCTCGTTTTTTCCCGTTATATAGAGCGTATACATACAGACTTATACATTGGGTTATGACGTGAAAAAAATTGCTGTTAAGTATATACTGGGTTTTAATTAAGTCCCCAATTATTTTGGGGGTGGGCTAATATATTTCGAATCGTATTTCCTTTTTTCATTGCAATGAGTTTATGATCGGATTTTAAACATAATGGTTAATGAGATACCCTAGATTTTTTTTTATATACAATTATGTAAAATATTGTTTTTCTAATGTGTATTATTATTGTTATTATTACTATTATTATTATTATTATTATTATTATTATTATTATTATTATTATTATTATTACTATTACTTCTACTACTACTATTATCATTAATATTATTAATATCATTATTATTATTAGTAGTACTATTACTATTACTACTACTACTACTAATATCATTAATATCATTATCATTATTATTATTATTATTATTATTATTATATCATTATCATTATTATTATTATTATTATTATTATTATTATTATTATTATTATTATTATTACTACTACTACTACTAGTATTACTATAATTATTATTATCATTAACATCATCATCATCATCATTAATGATAATAATAATAATAATAATAATAATAATAATAATAATAATATTATTATTATTGATATTGATTACTATTGTTACTATTATTATTGTTATTATTATTACTATTATTATTATTAGCATTATTATTATCATCATCATCGTCATCATTATTATTATTATCATTATTATTTTTTTATTATCATTATCATTATTATTATTATTATTAATATTATCATTATTATTGTTATTATTATTATTACTATTATTATCATTATCATTATTAATGTCAT